GTATTTTTTATATATTTAAGTTCTTACAATTAGGTGCGTTTCTTGTAGTTTGCAAATGTCTACTTCATCTTCTCATGGATTGAGGTGTCTTTTATGTGGAGCTGAAATGAAATTATTTCTATCAACTACATAAGAACATTACAACAAATATTTCTGGAAGATTACAAGGAAATATGTAAAGGCATGGTTTTGAATCAGTTTTATTTTATGATATGAATGTTGTGGTTATGCAAAGTGGTTGTATGATGTAGGGAGGTGTTGGATGCAAAGGTTTCTTATGGTGTGATGATGTTGACAACATAAAAGGGAGGAAAGATATCATCTTTAGAGACTTGCAACGAATGGAAAACAATGGTAGCAAGGACGTGGTGTTTCAGCATAGCTACAAGTTGGAGATGTTTTGAATCTGCTGAAAGGAATAAAAGAGATGTTGTTAATCATTTGTATCTGGATTGCTGTCAATGTGGTTTTCAATTTAGTTTAAAAATGAGGTGCTTAGATGGTGCTTCAATTTGGATAAAGACATGTTTTGGTTGTAACATTCTGCTCAAACGTTTTGGTTGTAACATTGTGATCAAAATTTGGGGAAAGACATGTCTCAAAGGTTGTAAATTTCTAGTCATGAAATGAAAACATTGAGCTCTTGTTTTGGTTGTTACATTCTTTGACTCAAATGAATTGAAATGGAATAGAAACATACACATGATGTAGTACACAAACCAACATACACATGCTGTTGTACACAAACTTGGCCAGGATTCACAAAATAAGCCAAAATACAATGTCATTAGAAGCAATATACACATGCACAGTACACAGAATTTTCCATGGTTCATAAAATAAGGCAAAATACAATATCTGTAGAAGCAATATACACATGTTGCAGTACATAGACTTGGTCATGGTTCACAAAATAAGGCAAACCACCTATCTTGAATTATATCAGTCTACATCAGAAAGTCCCATCTCTTTAAAAATAAGGTCTTCTGCTTCTTTGGAATAGGCATGCCTTGCTTTCTAGTAGCTGCCTTTCCTGGTGGTTTCTATGGAGTATAATTTCCAGTTTACCTCAGTCCACTAGAAGCATATGCATTCTGACTTTGAGCAAAAGCATGTGGAGGAATGGGTGGCCTCATCCTAGTTGTAGCAGAAGTAGGTGTGATGAAAGTTCCACCTCTAGGACCTGTGTGCATGGTGGTTTGGGCAAGTGGTGGTGGAGGAGTTTGCAATTATATAATAAGATGATAAGATAAATATTTAAGTGAGCAAAATTTCATCAACATAAGTCATCAATATAGGCAAATGTCTTACTGCTCCAGCATTTGTAATATTTGCCTCCTTGTCTTCTTTGAGTGTTGGGAACAAATTTTTTCCTCAACTGCAATAACACAACAACAACAAATTTTACATCTTTATAGGTTGCAATAACACGGATAACAAAAAATTTCAGTAATTAACACAGAAAAATACTAAGCATGACTAACATTTGCACCAGGTGGGGTTTTAGTTGCATATCTTTTATCAACATAAACTCCTTTGGGAGCGGGCTTTAGTTGAGTTTTGCAACTCTCCTTGTTATGACCCTTTTCCTAGCATCTTTGGCATGTGACTGTGCCACATTTTCTTTTCAGCCTTACTTGCCCATATTTTTTATCTTTCTTTTCCATCTCTGGATCATTTATTATCCTCACTTTGTTTGGCCTTCCAGGCTGCTTTTTAACCATTGGAGTTAGTGGTTGAACTTGAGTTGTCTTAGATCACATGTGCATAGCTTTGACAGGGTGGATGATAGGTTTGTAAGCCCTCAAATATGCCTCCTTGGTGTAGTATGGATCCACATATACCTTAGCATCTTCCCTATTTCAAAAAATTGCAGCAACAATATGGTGGCAAGGAATGCCAGTGAGATCCTATCTATTGCAGCTACATCTTCTTCTGCTTAAGTTGACAACATATTGATCATCTATTGACTCCCCTACTTGGAACAAGCCATTTCCAGAGTACATTGGCACATTTTTCATGGACAAACTTATTCTGGATTTTAGGACAAATTGGCTGCTCATGAGTCCTCATAGAATCCCTCTTAACTTGTAATCTCCTTATTAAGTTGCACCTAATCATTTCCAACATGGTGAGGATGAGTTTATCCCTTGCTTGCAGAATCCAAGAATTAAAACATTCACAGAGGTTATTCAATAACATATTACACTTAATCCTTGTAGTAAATGTATGCCTAGCCCATTTGTTTATGTCCTTATTCCTCAACCAATTATGTGCAACTTCACCACTCTCTAATCCCTTCATCTTGTTCATCATACACTCAAATTTAGCCACATTTGGTGTTCTAGCAGCATTCCATAACAAATCTTTCAAAGCCCTTCCCTTATGCAATGTCTTGAATTTCCCATAAAGATGTCTGACACACCATCTATGTGCTGCTTCAGGCACAACTAAATCAAACGCAACATCTAATCCCTACAATTTTAAACTAAGAATATTAAACTAAGTATATTAAACTAAACATATTAAACCCTAAAGATTAAATTAAGAATAAAAAAACTAATATTATTAAACTACCTTTTGTTGGTCTGAAATGAAAGTCCATCCATGTTCACTAACATGACCCAAATCCTCAATAAGCAATTGAAGGAACCAACACCATGTTTCTTTGGTCTCCAACTCAGCCACAACATAAGCAATTGGTACATATTGGCATTTGCATCAATACCCACTACCACAAGTAATTGCCATATCATACATTAACATAGTTAGTGTAACATAGATTCACATGCTTTGGATAAGAAATTGCCTTATGATAATGTAGTTATAATAAGAAAAACAAAAGGAGATTCATACCTTGGAATATGCCCTTCAAATGACACCCGTCAACACCTATGATAGGTTTACATCTAGCTAGAAAGCCTTTTTTGCAGGCATCCAAACACACATAAAGCCCTTGGAAATAAGGCGATTTAATTTTCATCATCATAATGCTGCCCACATTAGTTTCCCTAACCTCTACACAATACTCCCACAACTTAGAGTACTATGAAGCATAAGTACCCTCAATGATTTCACTAGCCTTCTGTCTAGCCCTACCACATCTTCGACTGACCTCATACCCTATCTCCCTCTTAATAAGAGCTTGGAATAACCTCAACCTCATCTTGGGCTCATCTCTAATTCGATCAAGATATTTTATAGCAAGAAAACTTGTGCAGTAGCTTGAGGGTTGCTATAACTTCTGCTACACATGTGTGTCTCTATCATGCTCTTAATTTGCAAAGTCCCATTTGCCATGAAAGAGGCCCATAGGTTCCACTTGCATTTCATACACTTTGCTTGCATCCTCTTCCTATCATTTTTAGTAATCTTCACCTCATACCCCTCATTGATAGCATAATGTGAAATAGCTTCTCTTAACTCTTTCTTAGATGCAAATAACATGCTCACTTCAAATGAGGATTCTCCATATCAGTCTTAGCATTAAACTATGGATACCTTGGTCTTTGTCCTTCATCATCAGAATTAGGTGGACTACCAAAGCCATCTGAGTTGTAATTCTCGTTAGGCAGAGTATCATTCATGTGACCTTGAGGTATAAATGGCTTTTCTTATTTCTTCTTCTTTTTTTCAACATACACTGGAACCTTGGGAATTTGAACATTGTGTATAAACATATTATCATCCTCAAGAGTTGCATCATTTTCCTCATCCGAAATTTCTTTGTCAGACTCATCACCATCATCTTCCTCATCATATATGGGAACATTATGAAATGAAACCTCACCACTAGCCTCAACAACATCATCTTCCTCATACCCATCAACATCATCTTCCTCATCGTCATCAACATCAACAACCTCAACATAATCTAAATCATACATGGGTCCTTTCCCTTTAGCAGCTTTACCCCCATCACTCACATCATTTTTACACTGTGTTTTAACAAAATTCACATCTACTTGACTGAAGCATTCATCTGGAATATCATTAAAGAATTGCTCATATTCTGTCTGTTGTGATTGGTTGTAATTCTTCTTAATAATGTTAGGCACATCAACCTCTTGATCTACATATACCACAATATGCGGATTGATATAGATACTAGATAACATATCTAAAATTTCAGCATCTGAATTCAACCCTAATACCCCTTCATGCTCTCCCTTACCAGCAAAAGTGTAATAAAATCCTCTGCAATTTTGAATCTCACTTTGCTTCACAATATTCCTTAATTCTGCTGTAGAAAACCTATATGGGCATATTTTAACTCAATAATGAAGTGTCCATCATCTGAAAAAATTTACATTTTTGAAATATAGTTAACAATAGTAGACATATTATATTCAGACAAAAATAAAAATAAAAACATCCATATTATAATCCTAAAGCACTACCAGACAACACTCTCTAAAAGCAACATTGTTTTTCCACGTTAAACTATTCATCCACCATGCTCAATCCATTTCACACATGATGAATGCATATAAAGTACTACCACAACACACCAAAAACAACAATAAACCAACCCCACAACAACAATAAAGTTGTATATTAACTCAGAAACTGACCTAGATGAATTGGAGCTTTCTTTGAGTCCGCACATTTGGAACTCACCATGTTTGCTTCTTCACGACAGTCCCTGATAGCAATAGAGCCGAATCAAACCCAATTCAAACCCAAATATCCCAGAAATTGTACGCTTCGTACTTGTGAATTTGAATCAAATCCTTTTTTCGATTCAAAGAAAAACAGCTTCTTTTTGTTTGGGGATTCTATTTCTCAGATAATTTATTTGAATAGATTCCCTTTATTTTCATTAAGTTTCTTTTGTTTCTTCTGATAATTGGAGGTTTTCAAGGTTTCTTGGTTATGAATCTTTCTGGGTTTTGTTTTGTTTTTTATTTTGGGATTCTTTTCTGAGATCAGCTATTTGAATATATATCCTGTAGATTCATTAAATTTCTTGTGTTTCTGTTGATAATTGGTGGTTTACAATGTTTCTAACCCTGTTGTTTTCTTGTGTTTTTAATTGCTCGCTGAACAGGCTGCAATCTGAGTTGATGGCCTTAATGGTAAGACACCAAGACTCCTTTTCTCTTTGTTTCTTATTTAGATCCTGAAAATCTCGATTAAACGAAACCAAATCATCTTGATTAAATGAAACCAAAGTACACTTCCTCAGAAACCCCCAAGTCTCAGCTGAGTCCCAATTCTTTCCAATAATTTTTGTTAGGGTTATTTGGTTACTTGGGTTTTGCCTAATAATTTGTTTTCTCTTCAATATTGAATTATAGATGAGTGGGGATTCTGGGATATCTGCCTTCCCTGAAGAAGACAACATATTCTGCTGGAAAGGGACAATCATTGGAAGCAAAGATACAGTGTTTGAAGGGACAGAATACAGACTATCCCTTACCTTTCCCAATGACTATCCATTCAAACCTCCAAAGGTCAAGTTTGAGACTCTCTGCTTTCATCCTAATGTGGATCTGGTTGGCAACATTTGCTTGGATATTCTTCAGGTACTTGTAGTTTCATAATGTCATTTGAAAAGTCCAATAATAAACAAGCTACCAAACTTTTTACATATAATGTAACTTTTCCTTTGAATTAATTGCAGGATAAATGGTCATCTGCTTATGATGTGAGAACCATACTATTATCCATCCAGAGTCTGCTTGGAGGTAATCACCTTCTCTGTTGAACCATGAAACTATTAGCATTTCTTCAAGGTGTTGAATACTTATGGAATTTTGATTTTATTTTTTTCAATTGCAGAACCAAACATCAGCTCACCTTTGAACAACCAAGCAGCACAACTTTGGAGCAATCAAGATGGTAAATACTGGGTTTCCTTTTGCTTATTTGTTTTACTAAAGTCTGCTAAATTTTTGTTATAATGAGAAGTATCTGAGTAATGCTTCGTCCGTCTCTTGCAGATTATAGAAAGATGGTGGAGAAGTTGTACAAATCTCCAAAAGCTTAATTGAGATGACAATATAATTTCTCAGATTAGGATTTGAGCGATTGTAGAAGAAGCCTCTCTAATTTGGATGAGAGGATGGATTGTGTTTTTCTTTCAGAATGTTCCATAAATTCCTTGATTTGTTCTTGTTGTGTTCTCAGTTTACAGATGAGATGTTTCATGGTCATTGTTAATTGAAGATGTAGACAATTGTCGTCAAGATTCAGAGTAAAAGATTGTCTTTCTCCCTAAACTAATACTTGACAAGCCAAAAGAAAAACCATTAGACCTCTAATTATGGCCTCAAAAATGTCAAGATAAGAGCACAGGAAACAATTACAACATTTCCATAGGTCACGCTAAAGAACTATCCATGGCCAGGCTTTCCGAAATTCTCAGTCTTGCAAATCCTGCACCGGAGAAGCAACGGAAAACGGAATCTTAAAGAGTTTGTAGTCTTAGTCTTAGGGCACAAATAAGAATGAAACTAATATTCAAATCACATCTCTCTACGGGTGTGGCTCCAGATGTGTGATTTAAATAATTTAAATGAGAAATATTGTTGTAGCATAAGACTATGGGGCAACTTGTTGCATGAATTTTTCTACTTTCTCATTGTTGATGCTCAAAAATGGACAGCGAAAATTGAGTCCAACTTAGAAATGAGGTGTGATGGATGATGGATGAAGGTGAGGACCTTCAAATCTATTTTCATTAAGTTTCTTTTGTTTCTTCTGATAATTGGAGGTTTTCAAGGTTTCTTGGTTATGAATCTTTCTGGGTTTTGTTTTCTTTTTTATTTTGGGATTCTTTTCTGAGATCAGCTATTTGAATATATATCCTGTAGATTCATTAAATTTCTTGTGTTTCTGTTGATAATTGGTGGTTTACAATGTTTCTAACCCTGTTGTTTTCTTGTGTTTTTAATTGCTCGCTGAACAGGCTGCAATCTGAGTTGATGGCCTTAATGGTAAGACACCAAGACTCCTTTTCTCTTTGTTTCTTATTTAGATCCTGAAAATCTCGATTAAACGAAACCAAATCATCTTGATTAAATGAAACCAAAGTACACTTCCTCAGAAACCCCCAAGTCTCAGCTGAGTCCCAATTCTTTCCAATAATTTTTGTTAGGGTTATTTGGTTACTTGGGTTTTGCCTAATAATTTGTTTTCTCTTCAATATTGAATTATAGATGAGTGGGGATTCTGGGATATCTGCCTTCCCTGAAGAAGACAACATATTCTGCTGGAAAGGGACAATCATTGGAAGCAAAGATACAGTGTTTGAAGGGACAGAATACAGACTATCCCTTACCTTTCCCAATGACTATCCATTCAAACCTCCAAAGGTCAAGTTTGAGACTCTCTGCTTTCATCCTAATGTGGATCTGGTTGGCAACATTTGCTTGGATATTCTTCAGGTACTTGTAGTTTCATAATGTCATTTGAAAAGTCCAATAATAAACAAGCTACCAAACTTTTTACATATAATGTAACTTTTCCTTTGAATTAATTGCAGGATAAATGGTCATCTGCTTATGATGTGAGAACCATACTATTATCCATTCAGAGTCTGCTTGGAGGTAATCACCTTCTCTGTTGAACCATGAAACTATTAGCATTTCTTCAAGGTGTTGAATACTTATGGAATTTTGATTTTATTTTTTTCAATTGCAGAACCAAACATCAGCTCACCTTTGAACAACCAAGCAGCACAACTTTGGAGCAATCAAGATGGTAAATACTGGGTTTCCTTTTGCTTATTTGTTTTACTAAAGTCTGCTAAATTTTTGTTATAATGAGAAGTATCTGAGTAATGCTTCGTCCGTCTCTTGCAGATTATAGAAAGATGGTGGAGAAGTTGTACAAATCTCCAAAAGCTTAATTGAGATGACAATATAATTTCTCAGATTAGGATTTGAGCGATTGTAGAAGAAGCCTCTCTAATTTGGATGAGAGGATGGATTGTGTTTTTCTTTCAGAATGTTCCATAAATTCCTTGATTTGTTCTTGTTGTGTTCTCAGTTTACAGATGAGATGTTTCATGGTCATTGTTAATTGAAGATGTAGACAATTGTCGTCAAGATTCAGAGTAAAAGATTGTCTTTCTCCCTAAACTAATACTTGACAAGCCAAAAGAAAAACCATTAGACCTCTAATTATGGCCTAAAAAATGTCAAGATAAGAGCACAGGAAACAATTACAACATTTCCATAGGTCACGCTAAAGAACTATCCATGGCCAGGCTTTCCGAAATTCTCGTAGTCTTGCAAATCCTGCACCGGAGAAGCAACGGAAAACGGAATCTTAAAGAGTTTGTAGTCTTAGTCTTAGGGCACAAATAAGAATGAAACTAATATTCAAATCACATCTCTCTACGGGTGTGGCTCCCGATGTGTGATTTAAATAATTTAAATGAGACATATTGTTGTAGCATAAGACTATGGGGCAACTTGTTGCATGAATTTTTCTACTTTCTCATTGTTGATGCTCAAAAATGGACAGCGAAAATTGAGTCCAACTTAGAAATGAGGTGTGATGGATGATGGATGAAGGTGAGGACCTTCAAATCATGTGTGTGAAGATTTGGGCAATCAATAGATATATAGAAGACAAGATATACGTGGTTCACTCTTAATAAATGAGATACGTCCACGTAGAAGTATATTCTCATTCTTATAATAATGTGTAATTACATTTGTACAAGGGGTTGGGCTCAAATATAAAGGGCAGAAGGGAGAAGCCCATGGCTAATGATCAAGCCCAGCCTAGGGATCATTTCATAAGTAGAGAGTGGTCTCTTTTTATAGGCGAGGGGGAGTCTTCACTTCTTGTAATATTCCAATATGAAACTCTTTGCCTTGCTTAGAGTTGTTTCTACTTGCTTGATCAGATATGGTATAAACAATCATCATTTTTATTTATTTTTATGCATGTGTGTGTTGCTTTCTCAAAAAAGTTTCTTAACTGTTATGATCTTGATTACAGAGCTGAAAAAGAGTCTGGACAATAAAGAAAATGCCACATAGAACTCAACCTATGACTCTACTCTTGGTGCTTGCTTGGCTGAATATTGTACTAGTTTCAAACATTACTCCAGTCTATGATTTCATTTGCTTCCTACTTACTTGGAAACAAGAGTATGTTTTCTGGTAACCCATTATTTGTTAAGAAAATTATATTCCAGAAAGCAAAAAAAATAAAGGTATTAAACTTGGTAGAGAACTTTCTTTAGGCTGGCCACACACTTGCAAGATGCATCTTAAAACTAAGCTTGACCAACTTTTTTACTTGATATGATTCAACTATGCCTGGTCGCAAATGATGTTATTATATGCATCCTAAACTGAGTAAAATTGGGCAATGGTTAGGAAGCAAAGGCCAAGCGTATAAACTGAGTCATTGAGTATTTAAAAGTGTCCTATCAAGTTTTCCCAAAATAAGACTATTATCTTGATGAAGATTGGACAAAGTTAAAGGAAGCCTACAGAAGTCGAGATGAACAATTTCCTTGATTAAGAATGTCTATGAAGTCCAGTTTATATGATGTTTCTCTTACCTCTAATTGCCAGTTTATATGAGCACATATTGTATTATATCCGTACGTATGTATTTTTTTAAAATATTTTCATTTTTCGTACACATGTGAAAGACTCAGTAAAATACACATTTTAAAAAATAATGCTCTTGTTTTTTTTCAAATTTAATAATACATACAAAATTGACATATTTTATACATATTTTTCATATATAATCGAAGAAAAATAATATATATTATAAATTGTAAATAAATTATATTAAAATATTATGAGTGCGGCTATTTCCACCCATATTAGGATTAAAAAGGGGTAAATTTATCTTTAAAATTTTGAAGATAAGGTGGATGGGGAAATAGGACAAGAGGTGGAAATAGGATAGTTACCGAACTTTTCATTTGTTCTTTTCACAAATTTTGCCGAATAAAACGCGTACATATTTTATTTCTACTTTTCCCGTTCCATATACAAGGGGGAGGGGCATATCACATACTCACTGCCATGGAAGTTCAAACTTGAGACCACTAATGCTGTCCGAATTTTAGGTCGATTAGATACAATCTATTTGTACCTAGCACAAAAACTTTAAGTAATCTTTCTCAAGTAGCAGCAGAACAAGATTTATGGCCAAGAAGTAGAGCAGAAAATAGAGCCAACATTAACAAGATTTATGGCCAAGTAGAGCAGAAAATAGAGCCAACATTAAGGGTATGTTTGGGTCCTTTTGAAAGGGCTAAAAGCACTTCTAACAGCACGTAGCAGAAAAAATTTGAAGTGCTTCTAGATCACAAAAGTGCTTTTCTATGCTTCTCCACGAATCACTTCCAAGTGCATCTTCGAAAAACACTTTGGATCTTCAACAAATTTTTTTGATGTTCTAATATTAGTGTTTCTGAAAAAAAACGCTTACAAATGGAAGTGCTTATATGAAGCACTTGGATTTCCAATTAATGTTATTTGATGTTCTACTAATAAAGGGTTTCTGAAAAAACGCTTATAAATAGAAGTTCTTCCTACAAAAGTGTGGTGCATACAACCATTACGATGAATCAAAGAGGGCAATAATAATCGACAAAAATCACATTTCTAAAACTGTGTAACCATTACGATTAACATCGATCTAAAATCTCAAATACCATATGAAACCAACAAGTAGCATGCATCTAAACTACTTCAGTGTCACACAAACTTCTCTCCGTATGCTCTTATTTCGTAAACCCAGATTCTTTCTTTGATTCAGCCATCAGATTGATTACCCCCAAAGCCTACATATTATGTTTAATGATGTCAGCTGCCTCAAGTTGAGATGGACAAATTCCTTTATCTCCAAGCTCCACTGTAGGTACAAATTCCTATGGCTTTGGTGATGTGAGCTGCCTCAAGTTGTATTTGGCCAACTCCTTGTACTTGTCAACAACACCGATCAAGCAAATAGTCTGTCAATCAAAACAAAATTAGGTTTTGACTTTATCAGAGGCAACAAGGATCCTATATATGCAAGTCTAAAGACAAGCAACTTTTTATGATAATGCTTCTTTCATGCATGTCAATATATGCAAGTCTGTATTTCAAGGTCAACGCACAATGTACAGTACCCATTACTTTGCAGGAGGGTAGATCTGAACATTAGTACAATAGACTCTAGATGGGAACTATTAA